CTCGGGGAGTTAGAGAAGTGTTCTTGGAACGCAGGGGTCAGCAGTTCAATTCTCACAGGGAACTGGGGAGCAGTCTCGGACTCAGAACTTCCTCACTGATGGCTCATGTCTCTTCCTGGGTGACTCATCTCTCCTCAGGGTTAACTTCCCTCTCGTGAGGGTACGCTGGGCCCAGCACCCTACCTCAGGGGTTTTGAGCAGTGCTCTTGGAAGGCAGGGATTGGTTGCTGGCTCAAATGTTGAGGGGCCTTGGGTAGCCGGCTCGGACTCTCCTCAGCATTAACCTCTCTCTGCAAAGGGGCCCCATGGCCTGGCTCCATAACTCAGGGGGGTAGAGCAGTGGTCTCAGAATGCAGCAACACAGTTAAAGTGACCTTGCCCTCCAGAATCGATGGCCCTAATCAGTGGGAGAATTGGCCCATTACTTCACTACCAGCTCTCCGGGAGGAGGAGGAGCTCTGCCAATCGGAGAAGCCTTCCCGTTAGCATACATAGCACGTTAGCATACATAGCATCTTCACTGAAGAACATCACTGTCGCATTTTCAGCATAGACTTGCCCTGGGACAGGTAGCATGTCACCACACACCCCTCATATACACACAGGTACGTCTCTTAGCCTGCCCTGAGAGCAAACTTAACCCTTCCCTCCACCCCCACTGGGCAGCCATGCAAAGTATAGGGGAAACTGAGGCACACACAGGCTTCATAACAACATTACAGAAAATTCCCACTTTGTCGCACCACATCCTCCTTCTCTGGCCAGATGTTGACCCAACAGGTGGCCACTGAGCATGCCTCCCATCGGGTCCTGGATGCAAGACAGATGTTTGCCCGCCTACCTTCCCTGTTTCGTGAGGTGCTCTGGGGCTGAGGCAGGAGACAGGCATCCAGATGCCTGGAGAAAGGCAGCAGTATGGGCCCCCAGGGGCCCATTACCCGGCGAATGCAGGCGCTGAGTTTTGGGGCCTAATGGGTTTGACAGTTTTGGGAATTGCCGTGGAGCCTAAAGCTGGGATTTAGGCACCTAAACCTTTGTGAGTCCAGCCCTAAGCCTCTATCACGTGGCCATAATATGTAGTGCGGGCGCCCGGCTTCTTCAGCCCCTGGGACCAATGTTGGCATCGTCCTTCTCCGAACCCTTCTCGGCACTGTCAGCAAAACCGTCCCTCCCCGCAGCCATGCGCCTGCTCAGTAGGGTTGCCAGGCAACTGGATTGCCCGGTCGAAAAGGGACCCTGGTGGCTCCGGTTGGCACGGCGGCGCAGCGGGGACCCGGGGCTATGGCAGGCTCCCTGCCTGCCTGGCTCCACGTGGCTCCCGGAAGCGGTTGCTCCCACCCTAAGTGCCGGCTCCGCAGCTCCCATTGGCCAGGAACCACGGCCAATGGGAGCTGCAGGGGCGGGGCCTGCAGGCTCAAAGGCAGCACGCGGAGCCTCCTTGTGCCTAGGGGTTGCAGTAAGTGCCGCTGGGACCCCGAACCTCCACCCGCAGCCCAACCCCCTGCCTGCACCTCGCACCGCCCCCTGCACCCCAACCTCCTGCCCGAGCCCAGAGCCCCCTCCTGCACCCCAAACACCTCATCCCCGGCCCCACGTCAGAGCCCGCACCCCCAGCCAGACCCCTCACCCCCCTCCCACACCCCAACCCCAGCCTGGTGAAAGTGAGTGAGGGTGGGGGAGAGCGAGTGATGGAGGGAGGGGGGATGGAGCTAGCGGGGAGCGGGGCCTTGGAGAAGGGGTGGGTCATAGGCAGGGCCTCGGGGCAGGAGCGGGGCAGGGCAGGGGTGTTCGGTTTTGTGCGATTAAAAAGTTGGCAACCCTACTGATCCGAACCCTTCTCGGTGCTGTCAGCAAAGTGGTCTCTCCCACAGCCACACACCTGCTCTTGCACGGATCAGCTGCAGGTGCCACAGAGCCGGCGTCAGGGGCTGGGCTGACAGCTCAGTTCGGCAGGATTCAATTTTTATTTTTATTAATTTAATTTATTTTATTTGTTACTGTGTAACTGTTGTTCCAGGTGCTGGAACTGAAGGGGGCTGGGGGCAGCCTTGGGGCTAGGGCTGCACTGAGGGCACAGCTGCCGGGGGGCCCTGCATGGCTGCAAAGCCCAGGGCACAAGGTGCAGGGGAGGCTGTGATGCTGGAGGGCAGCACAGAGACCTCCAGGCAGGGCTGCGAGGAGCAGGAGGAGAATGAGCCCCCCCGTTGCGGGGAGACCACCCCAGGCAGGAGCCAGCCAGTACCGGGGTGGCCTCCTGCCCGCAGTGGGGCTGCAGAGGGCCCTGCTCTGCGGTGATGCTCCATCCCTGCCGGTGCAACAGGGGAGACCCCACTCCGGTGACGGAAACTTTTTTAGTCAATTTCAGTGTCAGCTGCAATTGACATTTACTGACATCTATTGATTTATACCCAATCCTGCTAACCCTACGGATAACACTTGACCCCTGAGTTCTAATTGGCTCAGCCCTCTGATGAAACAGGGTGCGACCCGCCAGACGGCCCCCTCCAATGAAAACACCCCACACGGCTTCAGAAATCAATACGGAGCATATCGAGTAACAGCTGCGCCCTGTTTCTGGGCCAGGTGATCAGCCTGCGCTCTGTACCTGTGCCAAGACACAACAGCGCAATGTGTTAAGCAAGCTGAAAACCCATCTGACGGGGTCCTCACACCCCTGTGGATATCTCATGGCTGGACCCGTTACTAGTACCATCCTCATGTCAGGACGGTGTAGGAGACAATGCTGTGTTCGGAAGTTCACTTTCTTTAGGCGCACATAGTGAGAGAGAAGGTTTACGTCACGGTTAGTGAAGAGGTAGCGGCTGAACTCAGAGAGGAATCTTCACAGTTAAAAAGACCAAAATTTGGCTCAATTGATTAATTCTAACAGGACAAGCATTCCACCGGGTTATGTACATGGTTTACAGAGGGGATCCCTGTTCAACTAGGCCAATATCCTCTGAGTGCACAGCACGATCTACCGTGCCATTCAGGCCTTCATTGTCCGGCTCAGGAAAGATGTCCTGACCTGCCCAGGACAGAGGAGTGAGAACACCTTAAATTTTTAACTGTAACCATTTATTGAACCGTTGTTAGGCCAAAATTGATACCTGTGAGCTATTGCCCAGGCTTTTCTACAGAGGGCAGTTCCGAGGAGGGCCCCGCTGCTTCACTCCTTCTCATTGGACTTCAAACGCCACATGTGGGTCACACCTGGACTGTGCTAAACTCTAAAGATGTTCCAGGCAGGTCAAAGGCCTGAGGACTAACAGCGTTTGGGGGAGGGATGCCTGACACCTTCAACGTTTGCCCTGATGCCCTTCGTTTTGGCAATGGCAATTTTACTTCTGAACGAGCGCGTCCACACAGGGGCTTTGGGGGCTGTGACTTACGTGCATGGACGTCACACCTTTAGTGCCACAGCATGATGACAAACCCTTAATAAGAGATGGGAATAAAGGAAATGGGGGGTCTGTGTTGACGCCTTTAGTTTAAAATGTTTTAACTGGTTTCGCTCTGTAAAGGGGGCACAGCAGTCCTACTGTCCCACACTGCACCCTGCCACTTGGTTATCAGTGGGGTTAACCAGTGGGACTCCCTGACACTTGGTTATCAGTGGGGTTAACTGGTGGGACACCCCTCTAAATCCATGACTCAGACACACCATTTATGGTTCTTTATTCTGACTTTCCCCCACATGCCGAGTGCTGGACAGACCCAGCCCTGGCCCTGAAGAGCCATGAGAGGCCGAGGGGAGGATCTGGTAACCATGGTGAGATGCTGAGATGGGGGCCCAGCCCTTCGGCTAGGATGCTCACCCGCACACAGAGCAAGTCCCAGGAGGAGCTGCATTCCTCGTGCCCGTCATGAGCAGGCCCTGCTTTCCCCGCAGAGGCTCTGCCTCGGGCTCACAGGGCAGTGGTGGGATCCGTATCCACCATGCACGAGGTCGCCGTGCTGCAGTCAATGTGCCATGGCCGTCTTCAGACAGCAGTAGCAGAATGTCATGCAGTACTCCAGGCATGCCACCAGGGGGTAGCCTAGCCTGGTGTGGCTGACCACGGTGTGGCGCGGGGGGCAGCCATGGACAGAGGATCCCAGGGCCTGGATCTTGGGGGTGTCATACAGCACGGGGGCCTGTAGGGAGAACTGGAGGTCGGAGCAGGATTCGCTCTGGGGTGGGGAAGTGTCCAGTCAGCCCCAGCAGTAGTACAGCCCCCCGGCCCATTGGGAGCAGGGCAGGCAGGAGGCGCGCAGGGGCCTGGGGTCTAGGACCTGGACAAGGTACTGACAGCACGGGCACAGGGGGGAGATGTGGGAGGCATTGACCACTGGGTACGATAGTCTATTGCCCCGAGCTCTGAGCTCTCCCTATCCCATTGCTGCGGCTCCCAGCCCAGCCAGTCGGAGACGTCCCAAAAAACACTATAATCGGGGACTTAATTGCAGCCAGTGTCAGAAGGGTATTGGCTGGGAATTGCCTTAGTTTTTGTTTTAATTTAGTATCTATCTATCCATCCCAATACACAATCATCTATCCATCCATCCATCCACCCCCATGCACACCCATCCATCCACCCCCATCCCCACACCCACCCACCCCCCCCCCCCCCCCATGCACACATCCATCCATCCCCATACACACCCATCCATCTGTCCCTCCATCCATCCATCCCCATACACACCCATCCATCCATCCCTCCCTCCATCCCCATGCACACCCATCCATCCATCCCTCCCTCCATCCCCATGCACACCCATCCATCCCTCCCTCCCTCCATCCCCATGCACACCCATCCATCCATCCCCAGCACACCCATCTATCCATCCATCTCCATGCACACCCATCCATCCATC